GTACGTCTGTTCCGATCTTGTGTAGGCAGTGATATAGGCGACTGATAATGTGTTAAACAGCTGATGCATTACGACGCGTTAAAACGCGTAGCGATCGCTACGTAGCGGTTCGTGCTACGCAAATCCTACGCATTGCCTACGCGTTATCTACGCGTGCTACGAAGGCAGTAATTGTTATCTGTACTGTACCTAGGCCTAGTCTTATGCCTCATCGTCCCCCGCTACACAGTACATCAGCAGCCCCTCCCCCATACAGTACAGACGTTTGCTAGGTAACAACGTGATTGCACCTTCTTCCCAGGTGTTCATGTAACATTGACATAATTGTTAGCTAACCAGTTGTGTGTATTTCTTTGTGAAAATGAGTACTGCAGCGTACTCATTTTCACAAAGCATTTGCATCCCCTCTTGGAAAAAGGGATTCGAAATTTGTCACCATATCTTCGCTAATTGAATTAATCACCGTAATTTAGCTTACACTTATGAATTTAGGGAGCACTTAAAATGTGAAATAATCATTTCACTACCTGACAAACTCTGAACTTTATTCATTCATTAAGCCTAATAGTTTCATATTGCTGTACTATATAATCCAACATCACTGGCGCATGGTAACAACCAACTGACTGCAGATCATTTCCGGTCACACATTACTCTCCATAACACAGCACCCCCTAGTTCCGTCACCTCTGGATTTGAATTGGAAACTTGAAATTTGTTTATACATGTATATCTACATAGTTCTGACCATTGCAAAACTGAAACCTACAAAAAGCTTCAATTGAGTCATTCCCATTTGGAGAGAACTTCCTCATCCTTTTTTTTTTTAAGGCAAAAGTTATGTTAATTTTTTAGACAATTAAACAAGAAACAAAGTTATTTTTCAAAAAATAATTATTATGTCATTTCAGTTTAAATTTGGTTAAATTTACTTTGATTGCCTATGTTTTATGCCTTTTTTTCTGTTTGAATATTGAATTAATAAAAAATTTTAAATAAAGAAACAAACTTTTAAAAAAAAATTAATTAGGACATTGATTTTCCAATAGCATGGAACGTAGAAAGTTTCTATGGGTGAATATTTTCATTAAACGTTAATTCAGATGTGGACATCATTGGATTCATCTGTGTAAAATTCAAATGTATAGCCTCAATTGTTCTCAAACACATGTTGCTAATTTATTGAGAATGAAATCAAAATTATTTTAGGTTATAAATGTTTAGAGTATGCCTCCGAGCATGAGAATGTCTCGATAAAAAATTGTCTTAATGAAATTCCTCCAGCACCAAATGTTATCTGTAAACATTCATGATGCCTCCCACTGCCGGACGCGCGGTCATACACTTTCTCCAGCCGTGCTTTTTGGTGATCCGCTTCCCCAGCGGATTGTCAGATCTTTTTTTTTTCCCTTCTTTTTTTATTCTACACAAAATTACCGCGAGCCACGCACAAATGTGCTTCAACAAACAATTGGCTCGGCCTGGAATAGTCATAATAAGGTTTTCATTGTGCTCAGTCATGCGTGACGTCATCTACGCGCAATTTTGCGTTTTTAAATTATCGATCACATCATCCTAACCAATTGTCACAATCATGGCAACTAACACGCGCGTGGGTAATTTATCACGTACGCTGACGGTTTATGGTGTGGTTGCTATGGTTTTTGTGACGTTCAGCGTGTAGGGACGCACGTGCGCCTAGAATGTCGATGCCAGAGTTACAACCTTTGATGTCCCGAGATGTGCGTCCTTCTGTTGAATTGCCTTGCTCTTTTTAAAAAAACTAGTTACAGCATATTTTAGCATATAAAACTTTTCAATCAGTACCGCACATGCTTCCTGAGGGTCAAAGTACGGCGGATCACGAAACTCATGCATAATAACATATTTCTACACCGACACACATGGCTCACAGTCAACACAATGATTCTATGAAATGCACGGAAAGCAAAAAAAGACAATGTGGACTTACCTAACCGTAATTCTCCAAAATTGCCGCACCCTATCTTCTTGCCAACCCTAAAATTCGGTCCCACCATTAACACACTTGAAGTTCCTGAGGGAGTCCTGCTTCCTCCAGCCGGATGTCCCCTTGGGGTCCGTCCCGTTTTTTTCTTTTCCAAGTCCGGTCTGGTATTACTCTGCATTTTAAAATGGTTTCCTCCGTTCATCAGTACCGAAATAACAATCCAAGTAGCTGCTGAATCTCGCTTTCAAGTTCTTCCTCAAATATGAATCCAATTTTCTACATTATCTTTCCATTAGGTACCAATAAACTAATACTTTGAATCACTCTAAAGCATGTAAATCCTCAGTCTAAGTGTCATACAAACTTTTTATTTTCATTCTGCTATGCAATGAAATATGGTGTTGCAGTACACAAATACCTGACAAAGAAAAAAGAAACAAAGATCAGCAGAAAAAAAAATTTGATAAAAAACAAATATTTAACTTTTGGATTATTCTCTACCAGACGAATTGCATTTTCTACCAGAGGCGAGACTTTTTATACCTTGATTTTTCGCGAACTTATTTTTTTAAAGATTGTCAAAGGAGGACGGAAAAAAATAAAATTAAAATTTTGTTGTCTTATTTAGCAAATACTTGGGGAAAGGGCCCTTCTCTCCATTCCCCACATCATCCCCCACACATACATTCTACCTTATTTTTCGCACCAAATTCAGTAGTAATATTTCAAATCACCCTTCCAAGTCACTTTTTCTTATTTTCATGGACCCTATAAAAAAAAAAAAGAAATAGAAGCACAAGGACGCAGACAAAATACATGGCCATTTATTTGTATGTGGATATTGAATTGGTATGGTTTTCTCCACGAAGTAGTATTCTGTATGGTAGACTCGCTCTACAGTAGCTACAATGTTAAAGAATTTATCTAAAGGGAGCTGAGTATTTGTGTAAGTGTTTGATGTGCAATAATGCAAAGCTTTGGAATGATGTGCTGTACCCACTTGCCTGTGTCAGACATCAAATGAAACATTTTTGTTGTCATTAAAATGTGGGACCTTATCAGATATTTAATTAACATAAACAAGAATGGAGTACCAGAATATTTGACTTAACGTAAATGCCTGTCCACCCTACAAATATGTTAGTGATCATAATTTGATCAATTTTGATCATGGACAACATTTTACAATACAATATTTTGAGTTTTTGTGCTTAAAAACCTCATCTACACACACATTTACACACAAAAAAAATACATAAGGGCATTTCCACTATTGCTATAATACATGCTATATTAGAATCTTATTCCACTTTAATACAACAAAATGTATGCACTTTAAAAAAGGGCAATTTCTGTACCATGTAGTTGCATTCTTCAAAGGTCTACCCATACAGTAAAAAAACTAGCTGTTGGGGTTGTCATGGTAACACTTGTATTTTGTTAGTAATGTTACAAAAAAAGGACATGGATAACAAATTTTCAACTCTTTAAGATTGTATTGCAAAACAGGCAGGAATTAGGCAGACCATTCCAAAGTTGGGCAGCAATTAAAGGGAATGATTAAGAAAGAACAATGTAAATTAATTAAGCATTCAGAATAAAGTAAGATTTCTATCTATAATGATTAAGTTTTGTCAGTGGGAGCTGGTGTGGTTGGGGGGTGTGTTGTTACATAACTAGAGTCATAGTATGCAGTCATGTTCGTATGATGCATAGTAGAGACCTAAAATACTGTAGTTATCTACTTATATATTGTACAATGGAAGTAGCAATGGTAAGTCACTGAAAAAAGTCCCCTAGTGACAGTTGAGAGGTTGAACAAAAAAACTTCTTTTCTTGTAGTCGGCCATTTATGCCATTTGCTTATTTCTGGAGTAAAAAAGGTAGATATCATCTGATAATCATGGAATAAAATTATTATATTTAGATAGAATGCAAAAAAAAAACTTTTAAAGAGATGCTTCTATTTAAATGGGAACTTTCATGCTCAACAAAAAATCTGTTGAATACTTTTCACATTTGGTTGCTTAAATAACGCTAACTTTTTCGTTGAGTTTGTACTTAACGTTCAAAGTACTTTGTAGGGTTTGTTCTTTACATGGCTAACCTCAACGGATTAATTTCAATCGAATATGCTAAATGATTGATGAATCAAATAATATCTCATTACTGGGTTACCACACTTGACATCTCAATAGGTAATTAGTTGCTAAATCATCATTAATGTAAATCCCTGCTTAGACACCCCCTCTTCCCCCCCCCTCCGATATCTGATCTACTACACGTACCTAGCCAGACTACTACAGTAGTACTATGCAGTACATTTTGACCTAAGTAGGAGAACTGCATGTGGACCTAGCTACCATCTATCTAGCCTTCTTATAGTCAATAAGGGTTTGATTTGACCTCCACACATTTTTTTAATTCCCTAAATAATCTTTTCATGGCATACTGTATGTTCAGGCATCACAAAATATAAAGTACGTCATCGCTACTAACTAGACTCATCGAAGACGTAATATTAGCCGTAAAGCTTATCATTCCAGGCTGTGATTAGTTGATATCAACATGGTATATAGAGGCAATTTGCAATCTGACCAATGGCGAACACACTTTCATAAGAAACCCATTCCAGCGGCAAGAGATATGATATAAAGACATATGATATAAAGACATACAATTCCACATATTTCCCAACAATATTTTCGCAAAAATTCTTCGTACTTTAAATTTCCCTAGCCTTCTTTTCTATATTATTGCAAGATCAGTCTAATCGCGTCATAAACGAAGGCCCTAATAAAAAAAAAATTACTTCAAAATTCGCTCAAAATCGTAGTGTAAGCCCATCCCTCAGACAGTGGTCTAAAAAGGAAAAAAAAAATCAAAAAATGAATCTACACTTAGTCTGATGACCACAGAGTCTTTGCAAAGAACAGTGCTTTCCATATTATACAACTCTCCTCCAAGTCCGTCAAGCTCATCTGTGAGCTCAGCTGACTCTTCTCTTGAGAGGTCAAAGAATGCCATACTTCATATTTTCATATTGAAGGCATAGTGGTTAACAATTCTTGTTTTATAATTCCAAATATATAGTTTAGGCCCAATAAAAGAATGATTAATTTATTACCCTCGCACGCATGTCTTCTATGGTATTGTATGGTATTTTTTTTTTTTTTTGTGAAATTTTTTTAGTATTGTATTTTACTTTGGATATCAACGCACCAGCCCATGGGTGATATTTGGCGTTGAAAAAATAAAAGTCCTCCCTCCCTCATCACTTTGCTAGCCTAGATAGTGTGATAAACTAATATTTTTTTTAAATAGGGCGTTATTTAAAAATTATATAATGAATTATATAACATTCCAATCACTCCCTCATCACTTTGCTAGCCTAGATAGGTTGATAAACTTATATTTTTTTTATATAAGGCTTTATTTAAAAATTATATAATGAATTATATAACATTCCAATCCATTTGTAAATCAGGCTTAAATAGCTGTATTATTTAGCTGTAAAATAAGACCAAAACCAAGTCTGTAGCCCCTACAGGAGCGAAGTTTAACACGATCAACTTTTTTCCCATAGACTTTGTTTTCCGCCACCCTTCAAGTTCTGAATTCTATCAAGGTATAAAATTCGTAAATTTTAAACTGCTATAACTTTTCATTTTCTTGGTCAATTTTACAAATCAAATTGCTGTTTATAGAAGCATTTAACAAGCTCGCGGCCAAAAAAAAATCAGATGTAACAGACATTGCGAAGTACCCAAAATTAATACAATAAAAACTAACACCCTAAAATGAATGGCACGCATAGACTAATAATTGACGGCTGTACTCGCAACTAGTATCGGATTGTCGATGCCACAGTAAAGATCAAAGGACTGTACGCGCGTGCTATGTTCGAGAGCGGAGATGTGCGTCCTTCTGTTGAATTACCTTGATTCTATCAAGCATAGTCGCCATTTAAAATGCTTTGAACTAATATTTACAGGTCTGACAGTGCCTTTATTTAGCTATTAAATGAGACCACTTCATGAAAATACCTTTTTGTTTGGCCAAGATATTATGAATTGAACAGAATGGTATTTGGAAAACAATAACAAAACCACCTTTGGTCACAAGTAAACACCAAGTAAAGTTATACATCAAATGAAGCACATTCATAGCCTGATAACATACAAAAGAAATTACTCTGCTAAATTTAATGGCTATGACGCAATTTTTTTTTCGAATAGAGCAATGTGGTTCTTCAAAAAGTTTGTTTATGCCTAAGAATTCCACTCACCAGCTTTTGCAACTCATATTTAAATCATGTTTTCTCTGCAAATACTAAACTGATATAGTTAAAAATGGCATGTAATTGAATTATTAAGCCAGTTCTTTCAATATATGTTATTTTTAATGAAAAACATCAAACTTGTGTCATTCCATCAAATTTCACAAACATTTTGGAAGCGTGGTAATGCAAAATAGGCTTTATTGGGATACCTACTGATAGGTACCATTGTTCTACAAAATAATTTAACTGCGTTGATCACATGTACACAGCCTTGCTTTATCTTAATCTCAACAAGTGGTGAAGTCATTGTGTTATGTTCCTTAAATGCTCCTAATTAATATTAAAACACATACTACCAGTCAATTTTGCATACGTTGGTAGTAGTAACGCAGACATCGAATGGGAAACATAGAGCTAACACCTTTGTTAGAAAGTAATTGTGTGTGACAGTCCTTGGATGCTGTTTTAGCCACCATGTCATGCATATTCATTGCTCCTAATTAATATTAAAACATATACTGCGTTACATATTTACATAGTAAATTTTGCAATGTTAATTTGTTTAAAGCAGACATCGAATGGAAAACACCTTTGAATAGTATTGATACCGTGTTAAACTATGTAGTAATAAAGCAGGGTATTGCAAGTGGATCAGATGCCACCAAAATGGTAAAGCCGTAATACAGGGTTATTACCAGCATTTTGGAGTGGTGGTCGGTGACCACTGACACACCCATCTATGGGTGAAAAATTGCAGTTATCATAGCCATATTATTAAATGTACCTATGAATCTGTGGTGTACAAAAATCAAATCTTCCCAAAAATAGTATTGTTAATACAATCTTGATCAAATTAAATCAATGGCAGATCCTAAGTGGGCTTGGTCTATCCCTACCTATTGTTTATTGTGCTCTAAGCACACCAAACAAAGCTAGCATTCTTTTTTGTCTTTTTCTCACTCCCTATAGAAGGCACTCAACATTTCCGACCGGCGCTGACAGGCTGCCGACCTGCACTGTTTTTTTCAATGATACTGTGTATTACTTTTGAAACATTAAAAAAAAACTTTTTAAATATTAAAAAAAACAAAACAAATTGTAAACAACCTTCATTGAGAAAATAACAATAGAAATACATGTGGTTACGCTTGTACTAGATAGGGCAAAAACATGTCCATTCGTGCAGAAGCTGATTGTTGAATCACCCAAAGCCAATTCACCAACTGATTAAAAGTTCAACCTGGTTTAACGAACAATATTACTGTTATATAACACACAACAGAAGTTAAATGATCACAATCAATGTCTGAATTAAGCTAATTTAAAATAATTAATACACAAGAAAAAACGCATTGTATACTGTAGGCCACAGACCTTATTATAAGGGATAGGCTTCTCAACCTCAACCATGGCACATGGTTGAGGTTGGGGTAAAATCTTGATTTTTTTGTTTTGGGAGTAGGTTAATGACCGGTGTATAGACCGT